GTTTCTATTCCACCAAATATGCAGTCTGGGGATCCTAGCATACCAAAATGACATCCACCTATCTATCACACAGCAAGGCTGTCGTCTTGATATCACGGCCGTATCTCTGTGAAAAAAAATAATAATAAAACTCTTCACCCATCGAAGCTCTGGAGAGCCACCGTAGAGCGCACGGTGCGCGCGCTGCATACAACGGGCACAGGACAAAAAAATTGCACCCCATGTCATTTCGCACGCCGCCATATATGGCCCGGGTGATGTGCCCCGCACGCGACCGCAGATTCTACAGCGGGGGCCGGGGCACATTTTTGTCATGCATGTGTTCCCAAGGCTTGGAGCCGGTCACAGGCCCCGATCTGCTCGGCCTGCTACCCCCATCAAGGGGCTCTCGCGTTCCGCTAATGTTGATGTTATTCCACCCCCCCCCAATCCCCGTGCCGGGCCCTCTTTCTGCGAGAGAATGACGCTTCAAATAGGGTCGCGTGGGGTGCGTGTGACCGTGTCCTTGCCGGAACCATGCCCCGATACCGTAGGCCTACTCGGCTGCTGGATTCTCCCATCTACGGTCCCGGTATGCCGACTAGACACAGGGTGAAAAGGTTGGGCATCAAAAAAAAAAAAAAAAAAAAAAAGCGACACTGAAAGCGATTTTCCAGTCCGCAATAAACGATAACAACCATCCCTTCTCTCCACTTCGGAGATGAAAATTTTTAATTAATAGCCCTACCATACGATAACCCTGGATCAAGATTATAGTCATGCTTCATGTGCTTGGGCCGTCCTATTATCATGCACACGGGCCCTGTTCTCAGTGAACGAACACCAGGCCCCGGTCGATCATGACCATACGGTGTTGCCTGTAAGGCCTATACCCATGCTGAGATTACCCTGGCCATAATTACGCATGCAGCTATCTATTCTGGACCCATTGTTTCATTAGTCTGAAAGATTTTCCGACACTTTTCGTATTTGTGAGCATGTGCATTGGCACAGGGTAAACATTGTCAGACTGGACCTTTTTGGCACACCACATGGACCCATAAGGAGCCGTATGCCTAGTCGGGATTAAGAAAATTAACACCCGGCAAGACCGGTTGTTTAATGATCCATTTTAGTTTTGCTTTATCGGAAAGGGGGAGGGGGGTTCTCGGAATCTTTATCCCATGCAGTAACTGTGGGAAGTCCGTACAATAGACCATCTGGGTTCCAGGCGAAGAATAGTGACATAAACAAATTCAAATGAGCGTTTATCAATCAATTTTGCGGTAGAATTAGAACCAAGATTCCTACTTCAGTAGGCCTATATTCCATTTAACTCTGTTGACTGGACTTTCAACTTCGCTCTCTCGATTCTAGATGTACGGAAAACTTTAGAGCGCGCATTAAACACAACTGAAGTGCATGCTGAACATCACGGTTTAACAATGACTTGCCATGCGCATGTCCATGAATGACGACGCTTTGTGTAATATGAACAAGGGTTGTCTGTATTAAATCATTTTTCACTTTCTTTCACAAAACGAATTCCTCTCCAAATGACGCGGTTTATTGTAAGCATGGTTTGTAAATTGTTTGGTAAGTTTTTCTGACTAGATTATGTCATCGACATTCTCGAAAAAATATTGCAGTGGCTATATTTAAATCCAATTTACTGATGAACTGCAGTGCGTAAAAGCCAAACACTAATCCTGGACATAAGACCTTGCACTATACGGTCAAACTCGTTTCTTTGGAAATTAACAAGTCTCAAAAGGTCAGCCCGGATGCGTCTGTTCATTGTTTTGTATCTAGTCGTCTTTTCATGTGTTTCCAAATATCACAGTGATTAACAATTCGTCCTCGCCCGTTGTAGGTTTATGGAAATGATGTTCATCTGTCCTTTCCAAATGACCGAATAAAAGTCCTGGAAGGGGTAGACGGCCGACGGCCAACGGCCGTTGTTGCAAATCGTCCTTTTCCTTAGAACCGTTTCTCCAGCTTCCTTCACCGCAAACGCACACGCCGAACACCTACACAAAAGCTGTGAGAATGGCGTCAGGAGCGCGCGCCTGTGAAGGTCAGGGGTCGACAGGAAATTCTCAAAATATGACGACAAATACCTGGAAACTGGTCTCTCGTGCAAGCATGTATTATTATCAGTACTGATCGTACCTGAGTTTCTGACATTTGGCGTACATTTCCAAAAATAACAGTCTTCAGTCCTTTAAAATTTAAATTTTCTTTACTCTTTGGGGCCTGAGTTAAATCTTGAATTAGTGATACCCAATTTTCCTTGCTCCTCCGTAGGCCGGAAGTGATTCCTATGAATTTTTGTGATCTACTCAGAAATATGTTCTTTTAAATAAGTTTTAGTACAAGTAGAAGTCTGAAAGCGCTACCTTCAGGAGTAAGGTGTTACGCGTAAGATGACTTGCACTTGCCGCTCGCCTCTTGAATGTGGTGGTAGTCCAAGCCGATTTATACCTCAGCTTGAACCACAAGAGGGCTCAATTCCGGTTTTCACATTAATTCATGAAGGTATTACCTCTTTAATTACCTCCTTGGTCCACCCTTAATAAACCTGCGCCTACATCGGTTGTCCGTTTAACTGTTCCAAAGGAATGGAAATCCTGTTTGCAGCTGGTCATATCACGGCTTGGGAGCGGCGTGAACCACAACTTGCTAAATCGCTGTGCTGCGTGCTCAGTTTACCATCTGTGATTAAAATACATTATCTGACCACTCTATTTCTCATGCGTGCGCACATGCGCATTCCTGTCCTGTGAAAATTCATCATGGACAACTCGTACTGTGGACCCCAGCGCAGGTTGAAGGACCGGCAAAACCCTCCACGATGCTCATATCATACATTGTACGTTTGTATTTTTACACGATTTGCATGCATTATAAAACGACATTAGCTCTCTAGGGTTGGCACGTTAAACCCGCAGGGCATGATGCAAAATCGAAAGCCGAATCCACAAATCTGCGATGGAAGAATGAAATGTGTGGTTTAAAGGATCTCCTACCTTCCATCGACCGAGAGCGATTTCTGTTAAACTTGAAGCCGATAGGACGTACGGACTTTGTCTTCGTTTGATTCTCGGGAAATGAACGGGGGCTCGATGACGCGTGTTGCGGTGGCTTTTTGTTTTACGCATTCTCCAATAATTCAACAGGCTACTTGTAAGGGGATATGTCTTAAACGTATTTGAAACTTCTGAACATTTATGAGCACCTTTTGAGGAATTGTTACAAGCTTCATTTCAAGCGCACTGGGGTCGTTTTTCCAATGACAGTGAATAACATGAAGCGGTTGTACTGTTGGCATGGTAAGGTCATGCACCATTAATCAGGCGCACGTAATCATCAAGCGCGCCCTCTCTGGCAATCAGACGAGAAAGGAATCGCTCGAATATGTTGATTGGCCTAAAGTTTTAATTAAGGCGTTTGATTTGGATATATTAGCGCGGCTATAACTTGAAAATCAACCAATAAGAAACTGGAGCTATACCGCTTCTCTTCGGCCATAACGCGAACGCACGGCAAACATATGAGTATATGAGGATTTTCCTGGCTCAAATAAGTTATAAGAAAGTCACCATGTTCATTCCATCCTTAGTTGTGTAAGGAAAGTAAGACACTAAATCAGAGTTTGAACCCAAAGATCAGTAGCAGATCGGTCGTGTCGGTGGGTGGCGTCTTCACTTGGACCTGCACAAGTTGAAACTTTAAATTTGTGGAATAACCTGGGCCAGGTTCGTCTAGGCGTTTACAAAGAGCAATAATCCATTCCTGGTAGGCTTGTAGGTTTAAAAAATATGCTGATGTCAGGAGTGGATACCACCTTGGAAACGAGGCAGACGCCTGCCACATCCCCCGCCAGCGTGGATGAATCACAGCGTCGAGAAAGAGAGAAAAATGTAAGCCGTCTGGCTACAGAACTTGATCATTTTTCTTTCATTTCACGGCCAATCGGCACACACTCAATCGGATACACCACGGTGTGATAGTATCATAGTACAAATAAGATACTCCAAATGAATCACATTGTTGTTTATTTGTGCAAAATTGAATCGGGACTCCATGTAGGCTATCTCCTATTTTATTTTGAGAATAATGAGAGGTAAGAATATGGGAAGGGTTGACTTTTCAACAATTGAATTCTGCCTAGTATGCCAAGGCCCCTACTGTAGCTATATGCACAAGCCAAACGTACATGTACAAAATGATGTAGCAGTATAGCATTAATTGTTCAGTAGAACTCAAAGATATTCTTTAGAATTCAAGCATGTACCTTTTTCATGTAGTTTTCAACTAGGAATTTCCCTCAGAATTTATAAATTATATGATCACAGTTGAAGAAAAAACCCCTACTGTTCTTTGTATCCCTCCATTTCTCATCAACTGGCCTCTGATTTTCCCCTTCCAGCACCCATTACAATCTGCATTTCAAAACCGGCAGTGCTCAATGCATGAGTGACTAACGGGGTTTCCCCTTCTTTCAGTTGCAATCTGCTACAGTAATCACAACAGACAAAATTAGATCCAAATAAAAGAGTGAAATCTTTCTCTCATTTGTGCAGAATTATACATATTGTGTTGCAAAGGTAGTGTGTCTTGTTTTTTGTTCTTCTTGGCAGTATGGCATATACCAGAAATGAAATACATTTAGGTTATTAGTCAAATCATTCTAACTTTCACATCTGTTGTTTGAATTTCATGGGTGTATACATTTGGGTAGTTCTGGAAGCATGTTGTATTTGACGGTGTTTCCAAATTCATAATCTATCATAATGATTACAGGTAAATTCTAGATATTAACCAGAAGTTGAACAAAGATGCTCATTTGTAAAACTTTGCATGTGAATTACAACTGAAAGTATACCAAAGTTCTCATAATTATGGCAGGGATTGTACACAGTTTAGTAAAGTTATGCCAGAAAGAAGACACATTTCACAGCGGAATCATTCCCTTGTTATACGTTGTTTATGATTAACATTTCCATTTTGTTTTCCAGCAGGACGATGCCTCCTTATCTAGTGCTGACACAGAAGCCAGTGAGCCAAGCTACGTTTCTGAAACGGCGCACCACGCCCCGACTAATGAAGACACCATAACTAGACCAGAGAGTGACAGAATAACACCACAGCCTCTAGACCTCAAGAAAGGTAAAATGCAATCGTACAGTCCTAAGGAGTTGAGTACCAGGCAAGAGCAACAAAGTCTGTGACATTTTAGATATACTGTGTTCAGTCGGACAGTGCCCTTGTGTTTGTGCACCAAACATTGAAATAAATCTTCTCAATCAAACATCGATGTTTTTTTTTTCAAAATCTGGAATCATTTATACAGCAAAAACAGTCCAGTGTAGTCTGCTTGTCAAGCACATATTTTTCTGTACTTGGAGAACACTCTAAATGTTTAAATACATTGTTCATTGTGAAAAATTCTGCCCAACCAATGCATTTGTGATCCAGCAATGCAAACATTAGTGACATTTCTCATCTCTCTTGCCCACTGTGTGGTACTTGGAATGCAGGAAGTTGTTTTAACCCATCATGAACCCTAGCTTATCCAGGCTTTCCAGATCTGTGTTGGACAACATTTGCCCTATTCCTCTACCAATCTGTTCTTTGTGTGATCTCAGTTTTACATTGTATATCCGTTCTCCCCTCAAAAGGTATTTAAAAATAGTTACAGCAAATTAAAACCTGTACAAAGAATTAAAAGAATTTCAATTTGAACAGCTGAGCAGACGAATAATTAATTTAGACATAAAATTTCATATGTAGAGTTTATGCAGACCGAAGTATTTGGTGAATCATTAATTATATACACCAGAAAGAGAAAGAAGATAAAGATTGCAACAGAATTTCAGGAATCTGTCAGCATTTTTTTACTTTAACTGTTGAAAGTTTGAATGTCAAATCTGAAGAGCCCATTGCATGGGTTTTTCCATTGATATGTTACCCTTGTCTTCTAACACTCCCAGATTTCTGTCAACTTTTCCTTATTTAGATGCATTGTATTGATGTACTTTGAATCGAGATTTTTCTGTGACATTTTTCCCTTGCATTATGACTTAACCCCCCCCACCGGTAAATTTATTCCGGTATCAACATTACACTCTCAGGATGTCTAGGTACGTTTGAAATCCAATCCACCAAGGCATCATATTCTAGCCATGACATTGTCCGAGGCATTTCCCACTGTCATCATGTCCGTCCCTGAATTCACAGGTACACTGTTTGTGTTCCTATGACACTGTACCATCTGGCTGGTGAACAATCCTCACTTTCTCAACTTAAATATCCATAGGTGTCACTTCTGCCAAGTGATCTGTCCAATTTCTAAACCAACTCATTTCTTGATAACAGACCAGAGTATGCTTTCTGGTGTCATCAGCTGATGTAAACTCTGATTCACGGTGTATATATTTTCAGCTTGTTGGGTTGGTGGAAGGCATGTAACAGTGTGGATGACAAACGAAAAATAGACACGGCTGAAGCTCTGCATGAAGAAGTAGGCTCGACATGGGTGTCATAGGTCGTATCCAAAATGGGATTCCAGAGCTACGGCTAGGTCTATGGTCTGTGCATCTCCACAAATTTCCAATGAAGCGAAGACCTAGACCTAGCTCTAGACAACAGATTTGGATGCTGTCTTACTAGGTTACAATATCCCTCGGCCAGATCTGTCCTGCAGACTTTCTTGATTATAGGGTGTTCATGAGTTATTTGGTGCATCTGTCGCGTCTTTACCTGCAAATTGGTTGCATATCAGCGGACAATCAATCATTGTCCCAACCTCTCCATTCATTCTGGAGCATGGAAACAGATAAATTAATGCATAAAGGTGGTTTGACTGTAAGAGTCCTATAAGTGCTGTATTCTGTTGCTAAATGCAATAGAATATAGCACTAAATGGGTGTTATACAGACTTTAAGCTCTTGAGATTCCATTGAGTTTATTCAGAGCTAAATTCTATGGGTGGGTGCAACTTGTATGTTTTCCTTCTTATGTCTCAGCCAATTTTTTTTTGAAGCTGAGTAAACTGAGTATTTGTGCTCATTTGCAGAAGAAAGTTCAGCCAAAAACATCAACCACACGAGACCAGGGTCACCAACAGCAGAGGAGGGCGAGCGAAAAACGTCACACGAAACCAATACTCAGGTAATGACAGAGACACATGCCCGCACAGCCCTAGGGCGGGCACCCCCTGAATTAAATCAGGAGGACAAATCACAGGCTGAGGATGGTGAGGAGGATGAAGAAGATGAGCGGGGTTATAGTTCGGAGGTCAAAGGTTACAGCAGCGCCAGCAGTGGTGGCTATGAGATGCAGCGATACACAGTGAGTCCGCGGATGGCCACATTTTCTCGGTGTCCAGTGATTATTTTTTGTGCGGCTGTGCAGTGCTTGTCGCTTTGTGGATGTTTGCACTTCGCCGAAAACACCCCACTGCTTGGAAAGTTTTTCTTTTTTTTGCGCAATTTTCTTTGTGTCATTATTTTTGTTACTTTTATTTTGCATTGATCTTACCAGAGGCTGTCCCCTTGATGTTATGTACAATCGGTAGAAACAATGCATCTTCGTCCATTGAAATTCCATTACATGTATTTAGATTTTAATAGAAAGTTGGTAGTTTCCATTATCAAATATATAGCAAAGAATTTTAATGTTTAATTAAGAAACAGTGTTTGTATTTAAAGAAAACTACTTGTCGGTTGGAATGCAACACAAAACATATAATGAAATCTCAGTACAAGGGAAAAAAGTAGGTCATAGCTTGTGCCACAAATGAAAGTCTAACTTATTGAATCAAGACTTGTATCCTGCATGAAGACAGGTTGTTGGCATGATTGAACAGTTGGATTTACGAACCCCAACTGCCAAATTTCCGTGCATTGGAGTGAGACATATATGAATCTGGTTCTAACTCCCGGTACCATTATTAGATAACCTGGACACAGCAATCAGTCAAGATGTGATATGTCTCATTGGTTAGCACCTATGTCTTTGCTATTTCAGGTATTTTGTGTACGTTATACAAACATATCGTGATAGGAGACTGTGCAGTCTGTTATGAATTAATTAATGCATTGTGTGACAGATGGTGTACCCACTGCACTTTGACCTCATCGTATCTATCTCAGCTTGTCCCCTCCCCCAAACTCACTTTCAACCTTTTTCTCAAAGGAAACACCTGGTATCCATTACTTATCATCGCTATCACCGCCACCGTTTACTCACAGACGATCCTGCTGGCAAGATTTTCTCTCTGTCTTTCCCTTCTCTCTTCTAAATCAAATTGCCACGTCCTTTCCTGTTTCCCCTTAACCAACTCCAGACCTCGTCCAACGGTTACGGCTACAGCTCTCTGGTTGGCACGTCAGTACACCAGCCACCGGAAGGAGCACGGGACACACCCGAGGATCTCTCTGTGACAAAGGATGACGATGATGATGATGACGGGGATGACGACAGTGATAAACTCAATGAGACAACGCCCGGAGTCGACCCCGAGCGACTCAAGGCATTCAACGTAAGTCTGCAGACAACGGTTTTCTGTTTCTGGTTGTTACTTTTTTCTCTAAGAAAACCAAAAGTTTCCAACTTCTTGCCCGTCTTCTGTCAAGAGAAACCCATCAGTAATTAGTGAATCATTTGATTGATATGAAAAAATGTAATCCAGAACAGGAGTATTTGCTGCAATGTAAGGTGATTTTCGGCCACCTGGTGACGCCTACAAAGTAACATCCCATGAACATTACATGTCAACAGCTTCATTATTTACAACATTTCCCTGTCTATCTCAACTATTACAAAGAAGGAACTGTTTGGTGACAGTATTTTCCATGCATTCCCAAATGAGTAAGATAGACCTTTAAAAAGTTTATTCAAGGTGTTAAAATTGATGTTTGTTACACCCAATAGCATCCGTTCCTCTCAACTGCAAATAAAAAACAAACACTTGGCAAGACCAGTCAGATTATGACATTGCAGAGTACAATAAGATTACACATAGCTTGCTGTGGTGAATGAGTAAAACTTCCTTTAGAGATTCCTTCCAGATGTAAAACAAGGAAGAGGTAAGGACTCTTGATGAAACACACCAGGAACACAGAAGAAAACAACAGGAGAAACAGAAAGTAACGACAGAAAGGGTTAAGATGTTGAAATGGTTCCCTCATGGCTGATTCTCAGTCAGTCCTGAGGCTGTGGCCTGTTCTGTATCTGTATGAGATGAAACCTGCCTCAGCAGGGAACCATAACCCTGCCATAGAATCCTGTCACATCGGTGGGAGAATGCACGGGAAATGTGAGAAATAATGTTTGATGACACGTTTTTGCCTCTTGACCTTTGACATCTCCAAAGAAAAAGGGAAAGGTGGCACATAAAGACAGTTTAACTGACTTGCTGGAGCTTGTTTGATTCCTCCAAGTCGAAGCATCTTAATGACAGGATCACTGATAAAATACAGAAATGGCTTCACAACTTTAGATCAAAATTGAATCCAACTGCTGATCTGAGTGATACACAGAGACATCTTTCTGTTTTTTTGGACTTCAGTTCTTTGAGTGATATTATTAACGTATTATACAGATAATAGGCTAAGTCTGGTTCATTGGCACAGTGGTTTCAGCTACACTGTTCATTGCACCAAACTCACCCAGGAAATTCTTAGTCAGTAAATCAATCTGTAAAGGTCATCCCAGCATCTGTACACTGCTACCTTTAAGTAGTACTTTGAATCCACAAAACCGGTCTTTGAGCCAGGTTCCCTTTCTCTTCATCTGAAGAGAGGTAACCTTGATAGAGAAGGGTGAGGCTTATGTTTTTCCTCCGTGGTATTTGTCAGTGGTCCTTGGGGGCTAGTACTGTGTCAAATACAGTGATGAGTCCACTTAAAAATCAATAAAAACGTAACCATGCTCAACATCAAATCCAACTATCAGGTGTAATTCAAATTTCCCCATTTCATTCCTTCCAGATGTTACATCAAGTGCCCAAACCGGACTGTTTATTTCAAACCCAACAAATGGCAAATAAAATGTGATTTCACAATCTGATACAAGAGATTGACTCATATTGTTGACGTCAAGCTAAAGAAAGGATATTGGATTTATATCCTTTCAACTCCACCCCCTCCTCCGCAGCCTACCTGTATGGACGGGATTTGTGGGTTGTGGGAGTGAAAAGGAGAATTATGCTTTCAGTGAAGCACTAAATGAACAATAACAGGTGTTTATGTGGGACTTTGGACAGCTTAAGGCACAATGTTATTACCCCTGTTCATAGCACCTGTAATTCCTCCTTTGGGCTTTCTCACATCCCTGAGGGTTTTTAGAGCTCAGGGATATTAAACGCAACCATTTCTGCCCTGATCACTGGTACCTATTCCAGTTTTGGATGGAGAAGCAATGTCGTCTTAGGATATTTTCAAATCAACTACACAGGTTGGATTTAAACTCACACCCTGCAACTTGACCCAATTCTGAGTTTGGAGCATCATACCACATGGCCACAGAATTCCACTTCTCTCTCCTTCACAGATGTTTGTTCGTCTCTTCATCGATGAGAACCTGGACCGAATGGTACCCATCTCCAAACAGCCCAAGGAAAAAATCCAAGCTATCATCGAGGCCTGCTACCGCCAATTTCCCGAGTTCCATGAGAGGGCCCGCAAACGCATCCGTACCTACCTCAAGTCCTGTCGTCGAATGAAGCGTCATCGGGACCAGAATGGGCTTGACTCGGTACGCACCCAAAATGTAAATCACCCATTTCTCTTTCTCTCTTTCTGTGTGTGTCTTGTCGTGTTGATCGGTGCATGGTGTCTCTTGTGCTGTCCAGTTTTGCACTAATTTGAGCACTACAGGCCATTTGCTATAGGCATTGTTCATTGGGGGCGCTCTTTCAATAACCATGTGAGGTCACGTAGTATTGAATTTTGCTGGCAGCATTATCCTTCTCATCTTTATTTTTCATTTAGTGTTTCTATTCTCACACTAATGTTAGCCATCTAATCTAGATATGGGACGGAGTACCCCCTCCACATGTTCAATCCCTATACACGCCTGGGAGTATTGTTACCTAACACATTCCCCCTAGATGTCTGAAAAGAATTCCTGAGATTCCGATCAAACAATGACCAACACAAAGGTGGGGGGAAGCTCTCCGTCTTATATCTTGCTTTTTATGATCTAATACATGCATAACTCATCTATGGAGCTCCGTCCATAAATGTATCCGCTCCAAGCAGAACAAAATAGGGCGTGTGATTTTGGTACCCACCGCATAGGCGCGCCCATACTGAGTATGCGTAACTAATTTACCCCAGCATGCATGGTCTTTGCGTACACACAGAACGCGTGCAAAGAACCGGCTTGTAACCACCTGTCTTTCTTTTTGTCGATTCGGGGTGCACTTCAGCTTGGGGCGGATAACGTTCTATGGTTCTTTCTTCAAATCAGTGCTCTCTACTTTTATGACCAATGTTAATTCCCTTGAGATTCCCAATCGCTCCACTCTTTTACATGAAAATCCTTTGTCTGTTTTTTGTCAACAGTCGATGCGTCCCACACCACCTCATTTGACCTCGGCCAGAGCAGAGCAGATCCTTGCAGCGGCATGTGAAAGTGAAAGCGAGAACGCTAAGAGATTACGAATGGAGCTTATGCAAGCTGGACACACGGTAAGATGGCAGTCCCTCTCATTTCATTGATTGTGCTGGTTTTAAGTTGTGAAGTGTCGCAGAATAGGCAGCTGCCTTTCAATTTGATGTGATATTGATGGTGAATTCATTAGATTTCTGAATTAATTTATTTTGGGAAACTTGCCGTCATGATTTTGAAATCTTTCCTCAAAGCAGTCTAACATAGGGTCAGTCATTTCTCAGCTGGGAATATAGTGAATGTTGTTCGTGTTTAAGTGTCTGTCATGTTCCTCGATGTGTAAGCTTTAATCACAAGGCACCCTGGGATTGTAAGTAGGCATCGGTTTGTTGTCACATTGACACTGCCTACTGCAAGGGAAGACTAAGATTTGAAAAGTGCTCACCAACTCTTCAAGTTGTATGCTGCGTCAAAGGTTGTCAGATGAAGGATACCAGTCATAGCTGACGCCTCACCTGTACCCCGTGTAACCCCCTCCCCCAATCCTTACAAGGAACCATGGCATTGTGTCACACTGCGCCATCATTTCCCCCGTTAATTGGAACCCCTTCCTGTATCGGCACGGCTCTCGCGAATCTCAAAATTAAGGGTATTTCCTGTGACGCGACCATGGACCACCGGGTCGCGCCGGTAAATGCTGGCATTTGTCTGTGTGAGGTGTCGGACGGGCGGAGGGGAAGAGCAAATTCGCCCACCAAACGTAGTCTGTGACTGGACGTGATGAATGAATAGAGCAGTGTACTCTGACATGCTGCTTGAGAACATCAAGGCGTTGACCTCTGTCCGCAAATTGGGACTTTAAGTCATTCACCTGTAACGCTTTCCATTGCCAAAGGTAGAAAGAGGTCAGTCAACTCCACAATTACCAAAACAAAAGAGAAGATTCTGGATAGAACAAAGAGAATTTCACCAAATCTCAAAATTTGTCAGCGCTATGAATATTTAAATTGCAAATAACATCCTGAAAAGCTGTCACATTCAAGGAATAACTACGGTATCATAAAAAAAAAGTGATTGTCCCACTAAGGCGAAGTGTCAGGCAAGCAACTCTAAGAAGAGATATAAGTTCCCCAAACTAACCATAAGATCCCAAGTTCTGCGCATTAGGGTACTTACGCTACTAACATCTCACACAACAAGACATCTAAATTTTCTCCACGTTTTCACTCAGTGCTGGGGGAAATAAGCGGAAGTGTTTGATTGATTAATGAAGTATTCATGTATAGAGAGAAACCACCTGAACATGTCTAATTGGTTTGTTGAATTAATGAGCTAGTGTGCCTATTCAGACATCCTCTCATTCGAGAGAGGCACATCTTAGGTTTGAAGTCAAGAATACATGATGATCATTTTTCTTTCACTACCAGTGTTTTCCATTAAACACTGACACCCTAGAACAACTTATTTCTCTATTAATTAATCAGGAAATATCAGGAAATTTCAGTCAAAATTATTTGAGATCCACAGTGGATTTCACTGTGTGCATTTACTCCATTATTTGTGTCTGTAATTTGTGGGTATTGAACCTACAATTCTTGGAAAAAAATCAGCTTGATCCCATATTGGAGAAAATCCAGAGGAGGAAATTGAAGATGAAGTTTGAGTAAGAAACCACGGAATTGTTCTCAGTAAAACAGTGAGGTGACTTCAGTAACTGTGCGCTGCTGTAGAGGTAGAATGGGAATTTTATGTGTGAGTAAAGTGGCAGGTGTTATGACAGGATTCAAATTATGAACCTTGTATCAATTTCATGAGACTTTGAAAGGAGGGGAGAGCGGAAATAATAGCGTAGAGATGAATCATGGAAATTCCATGCAAAGTCACCTGAGGGAAAGCATGGCATGTTGTAATTCTATTCTCTGCCCCAGATCGCGGAAGCATTAATGACATCAAGCCAAGCTTTTTAGCATTATGACTCAAATGGATGTGCTTGTAACTAATCCTGTGCCGTGATTAGCATTAAGACAATAAGTCTTCAACGGAGGAAATATTAATCATCATGCAGAACTCATCTGCTTGCGGAGATGAGTGAGACTGTACCTTTATACAGTCGTACATGGGAGGGTTGGCATATAAGACATAGTCCTGTTGGCCAGGGAGGTGTCGCAGGGGGAAACCTCAAAAACCTCACTGGCACGGCTTTCTGACTCGAATCTCTGTAGTTATTCTCAGAAATTTATTTATAGAGAGAACACCCTCAGAGATTGCACAAGGAAGCTCTTCATCCAAAAGAACGATGATGAAGAAATACTTGGACTTGGAAGTTGCAGGGAAAGACTTGGAGAAACAGGCGAATAGTACAGGTTCTCAGGTAGTGTTGAAGACACATTGACTGCAGATTGCACTCCACTTATGAGAAACAGTTGGAAGATTCTAATTTGTACTTTTTTTTCTTGGTTGTTGTAGAACGAGGTGCGGATGGAAACGTCACCCCATCAGTCACAGCCAACGCCACCATCTCGCGTCACATATGAGGAGTCGCCAAAGCATGCCTCCCCACGGCCTGTGGACTACCGTTTCGCCAATGGTGTGAGCTCACACGATCCTTACTACGGAAGTATTGCGCCGCATCAACCACAGCACATGATACAACCTTCTCAACATGCACAGATGTCAAATGGCAAGTGGCTAAATAGTTCTAGAACTAATCCAGATTAGACCCAAATCTACCATGTTATCCTCATTAAGCACATGTTCCCTCTTAGTTCCAACTGGCCTCCTTTGTTGAATTTCGTAATGACTGACAAGGTTCTTTCTTCACCACCCGATCTTCAGGCCCTACAGACTTGAGTGTTAAAAAGTTGCCTTCAAAGCCTCAGCTGAGCCCTACAGAGATTGCCAATATCCGACAGCTGATTACCAGCTATCGTGAGTCGGCAGCATTCCTGTACCGATCAGCCGAGGAACTAGAACAGATGCTCTTGCAGCTGAATTGAAAGAAGAGATTCCAGGGTGAGCAGTAGAAAGGATGGACTACAGGGAGGAGATAGACAACGCAACCCTTGGGCTTGGATTGAATTGAAGACCCAAGCCCAGCATTCCTGTTTTTAGGGGTGAAGGTTTGTCCTGTTACGCCTTATTAATATTTCACTTGCATCTTATCAGTTTCATTTATAAAGTCACTGGCTCATGTTTTGAGTTGACGTGCTTGTAAGTATGTACGTATCTACCCACTTGCGGGTGGGGATTGCTTCATTTTGGAGGAGGGATAGATATTTTAATACGGTATCCATGGCAATCTCTTGGGGCGTTAAATGTTCTTAAACACAAAATTGAAACTTCCAATATGGCTGTAGATGTGGTGTTGGCCTCATATTGAGTCTGTGCAGAATGACGGAGCGATAACAAGTCAGGGTGTTTTGCTTTCTTTATATTTTTCTTTCTGTAACACGTTCAACATTTAATTAAAGGTACAGATCTTTAACAAATTTATTCCGCATTACAAACAGTAAGTTATTACATGTGTATTGATATTATATTTACTATTTAAAACATCGTATTATTTGTTGTAATGGTATTTGATTTTTCGTTCTCTTGCCCAAAGATTAAAAAAAAACCAGCATTTAATCTGACTCAAGTAGAAGAATTCACATAGGTATCAGGTTTTCTTTTTTCAGAAAATATTTATGTTTATATACAGTCAACTCCTTTTCTAGAGTTTTTCCTTTTGATGATGAGATTTAAGTTCACGCATATTGTGTTTTCATGGCTTTATAAAGTAGTGCATTTCTTTAAATTGAAAGAAGCTACAGTGAAAGAAGTAGCAGTCACGTGTGCCAAAACTCATGCAGGTGCAATACGTTGGAGAACTCTGAGACAGATTTGAAATACCGAGAAACTGCTGTGAGCAACGATTGACAAAATTACAAGGATTTGTCGGTTTTCTTTCTGCAAACATCTTGACACAGTCTTTGAGTTCCATTGTTTCTCAGTCATTGAATCTTAGATTTTGAAGCCATTTTTATCACTGAACACTTCTTTTCAATAACTGCTACAACCACCTGACAAGTTTCTGGATTTTTTTGAGCCAAAGTACTGAGTGCTATTATTTAGCACATTTATCATTTGGTCAACATGTTCCATCAAGATGTAAATGTGCACATAAAACAAGCTATGGACAATCAGCATATTAAAAAGAGATTTCAAACATTTCTTTTTTATTACCAGTTTAACAATGCCTCTTAAACACACACTGAAATGATATCTAATTTGATTTTTTTTGCTGAACATATTTCGGCACAAATGAACGTGCAGATTTAGGACACCAACTGTAAGGTTATTTGTACCAACTATTACTTCTGTACAAAGAAAGACTGTCTGCAATGCACTTACATTTACTGGAAAAAATATGTGCAGACCTTGAAATAAAAATGTCACTATTAAGTAGTGGAATTGGCTGTTAAAAAGGAAAATTATCAAGCACAACTCCAGATTTTTTTTCAGCCAACGCAAAGTTTTTGCAGTATTAATATAGCATAAACGTTAGTAATTTATTTTTGGTTGCAAATTTTTCCCATCTGTGCAATACTCATATATATAGTCTCAGGTGTTGGGTTGCCATGGAAACACTGTAGAAAGTATCCATGCTACAGGGCCGGCAGTTTGTGCAACTGTTGACTGCATTTTCCATGAAGCTTTGGAAACATGGATAACATTTGTTTCACATATGGTTTTGCAGTTTGGTTTTTGGAAATGCAGTCAAATTAAACAGGAAATCCGTTGTAGTTGAAAGGAAACGCATGATACTCCAAGCATTAAGTGTGCTCGGCTGTATTGGTTTCAGATTTGTAGATTAGGTCATTTACATTTTTTTATAACACCGCAAGGCAAGAGTACAAGGAAAATGTCCTATTTTTCTCTAAGCAAGGTACTTTTAGGAGTTGTAAACATTTGTACAGACGACGATGACGACTTTCAGAAAAAATTTGATACAAGAGTTTTTGTCTTGTTCACTTTGAGAATCACGCTAGTTTTCAAAGAAAGCACAAAGGCACTATTTTGTAAAGTAATTTGTATGATGTGCTGTAGGGGGAACATTTGCAACATAGGATGGTTATTACCAATTTTGTAAAGAAAAAAAAAAGTACAACAGAGGTTGTATCCATGGCTGGGGTGAAAAAACAAAGCTCTGTTTATCAAAGTTCAGTTTTGTTCATGTCACTTCTTTTTCCCAGATTCTAAATGTTGCATTTAGGTCAAAAACTCCTTTAAGGTTTACCATCAAAAATTAATTTGCCTCTTGCTTTTTACTTTTGTTACATTGTGAATTTGATGAATAAAATCCCCTCCATCTACACAGTAGCCATCTTGCATTTATTATGTCGTCCAGGCAACATTGTTGCCTGGCAACAACAGTATTTATTGTGCATGCTCGGAACAAATGGAAGGCACATGAAAGTCATCAATTTGTGGTCAAACAGATCCAGTCTTGCCCAAAAAGGACTCAGTGAAAATGTAACAGTGACCTGGTCATTTTTCATTCACATTTGTCACTTTTGAGCCTGTTTTTCTCCGCAGTCACATAAGGAATGGCCCCGCATGCCTTTAAGAACCAAGAGAAAAAAAAAGCAAAAAATAATAAAATTTGCAGCGGCGATAAGTCTACAGGAGTCCCTCAATTTAGTGGGCAGTAAATTTGAAACTACTCATGACAATTTCCGTTGCTCAACATGAATGACGATAACACTAACTGGTAGTAAATGGTTACCATAAAATTCACAACTTTGCATTGCATTATGTAAGATTCATCTTTGATGGATCATTTTTGCCAATACACTTGTGAAAATGTTAGAAAAAGTTCCACATTCTGTAACAATTTAATCATTAAGAACTTAAAGTGTAAGTTGTTGAAAAGAGACAAGACAAAATGACGTTTGTCTTTGTGACTATTTAAGGTTACAGTTAGTCCCATGCCCAAAGAAAAGAAATGACTTTTTTCGACTTATGAATGAAAAACTGTAGATTTTTGATATTACAGAACTGTGTGAGTAAGTATTGTAAACTGTAAATTTATTTCACTGCTGTTATATTTAAAGGGATTTTTCATGTTGAAAAAAGTTTTGTCATTTTCCAAAGTGCAGACTTCATATTTTGGTCAGTTTGACGATTTTGTTTTCATTTATTTGTCAACTCAAAGTTCTGAAATTTTAGTTCGACTCTTCTGAAAGTTTTTAAACAATGATAACGAGTTAGCCTTGCATGTTCGCAAACATTTACCGTTTCCACTTTTTTGACATTTTTGCTATGACTTTTGTGGGGGTTTTGTACAAAATTTTAAAAAGAAAATTACTACAAGATTTGAGCATTAATTTTATGAAAGATCTTTACAAAAAAGTTGTAGTATTAAAGAAGACAGAAATAGGAGTGATTTTGTTTTGTTTTTCTTGGACAAACCAATCTATGTGAATATGAGTTAATAAGGATCTCTATTTATCAGTTATGTGTAGAAGTTGTTCACGTTATTTATTTAATATGCACATTTCTTTGAGAGAATATTTCACTTCATAATTCAACATGTATTTATTATTGTAAAGTCACCAAGAATAAAAACATGTTGGTATTGAATTTTGACTAAAGTTGAGTGTTTCTTGGTATTACTTGGTTTCAAACTAGAGCCCAAGTCTCAGTTTCTCAAAGTCCATTCCAATTTAGCTGACAAAGAATGAAAACTGCCAGTTCTTACAACTGCCTTGGATCTACGTAAAGCAAAGTTAATTCCGGACTACAACCATTGGTTAATCACTGCTTGATCCGCTACTGCTATTGTACCAAACTAACCAAAATGAGCTGACTCACTCCGGTAATATACAAGGGTCGGACATTCCATCCCTTGACTCCCAAAGTTACAATGCACAAGATATACATGTAGTTAACGAGAAATGCAACCAGCAGTTTATCAAGTCTACTGGTGAGCACGCTCCTTTTTGTGGGTACTCTAACAATTGTTCTAATATTTCAGTTTTTACCTTTGACGCGTCTCAGGTCTCAAAGGTAAAGATTTGCTTCTGTGAGACATACGGCTGTTGAGCTGCATCGACGGCTGAAGCATACTCAGACAGGGGAACCAGTCTATGTCGTGGTGCCTTGAGTTGGCCAGCAATGCCCCACTGACAGATTTGTGTGATCATTCTCTTGGTTTCTTCACCTGGTAAAGTCAATTTATAGATTCAGACCAAGGACAAGAACTCCATGTATGACACAAGTACAGATAAAGAACGTCACAGATTACGGACTATCACAACATCACAGATAATCCAAGATAAGTGAAGACCTTCACTACAACAGGCAACCCACTGTTTATATTGCTCTCAAGTGATCTGGTTTTCTAATAGTTTCATGTATCAGATTTGGTGAGATGAATATTTATAAGTCTTTGACAGAGAGCTATAATTGGTTACTTACTCTTTGCTGTCCTCTCATGCCACCTGGACATCCAATAGCCGACAAATTTAAGGTCGTTGAATATTAATGAGCCAGTGGGGACAATGACTGGCTGCTTGGACATCCCTCCGTAAGTGACAACTGTCCCATGGTTACTGGTCAAAGTAAAATGTCTGCATAAATCAGCAATCTTTTAAGCATGCAACCATTTCAGAATATTAACAATTCACAACTGTAAATTATTTGGAGGATAGAATTCTCTATCAACAGTTATTCTCTTCAGGTTTCAGGCGTTGCTGCTTCAGATGAAGCATATTTTGACAAAAGTCAGATTATACCCCATACTGGTGCTGATAAAGTATTCTGATTTCAATGCCAGTTCACAGGGTCCATCCTTTACTTCTCTCAATTCACTTTGTATAATTAGACATTAAAAGAATTCCAGACTTACTCCAGAGCTTTGACCAGTGCAATGATTGCACTTTTCCCACCAACAGCATTCAAGGCAAGCTTTGGCTTGGGCATTTCCTAGAAGACGACAACAGAAAGGGGATACTCTCAACTTTGTCTTGAGTCTTCAAAGCACTGATTGGCAAACAACAAACTGATAAACTGTTAACAGTGGAAGGTGGGTCGATTTTGATGTTGATTTTTGACGTTGCTGATTGGAATGTGACTCTTACTTTGAGAATATGTGAATCTGGTCCACGTAGGGATTCTTCTGTGACCACAGTTGTTGCTCCCAGATCTTGTAAAAATGATTTTAATTCCTCTAGGTTTGGCCTGGTGAACAAAACAGATGATTCATTACTTTATAAAGAAAGGAAAAAAGGAATTGAATAACTTTTGGGAAACAAGTTAAACACAAAGACTGATAACTGTATCAGTCTGATTAATGGAATATATTTCCTATTTATTTGAGCTTAAGTTTCCACAATATCGTACCTGTCTCTTACTATGTTTATTGTCTTCAACCCTCGTGCTGCAGCGATCTGAATGACTGCTTGACCAGCCCCGCTGTTTGCTGCATTTTGAATTATACAATTACCTACAGGTACCAAGAAGAAACGATTAGAAAAAAGGCTTCTGGCTTTGCAAAACATCAGACAGGAGTTAACAGCAAACGACCTTTACTAAAAAGGTTTCTTGAAAAATTCACCAATTTATATTTTAACTGCCTTATATTCAAGAGGCAGAAATTATACACAGCTCATCATACACTAATTTGCATCAGTGGTAAAGAAAAATCCTCCTTAGCAGAGTGTCAACACCTCATTCATGTAGTGAGGTGAAAAGACAGAAAAAAGGGACTAACTGAAACACAGCTCCAGAGGGCAGTATACCAGTTAAGCATTGAGCAACTGATATTAAAGACACAAGAGCTACACAAAAAGTCACTAAGCAGCTGAAAAAGCATACTTAGCACTTTGTCAGCAGTCAGAAATGTCCATTCTTCCAAAGAAGGAAGAAATTGATCTGAAAATTTACTAATATATCTGGATACCATTCTAAAATTTACCTGGTTGTAATTCTACGAAGTCAGACAGCATGCGATACGCCGTGCAGGTGTTGACTTTAAAAGTGGCAGCAATCAAAGTGGGTGTGTCTCGAGGCACTGACATCACGTGATTGACAGGACAGACAAGATGACTTCGCCATGTCCCTTGATAAAGAAATCAAGACACAATTCTGGAACTGAAAAGCCAACCAACAGAGGGCACTATGCTTTCTCAACATCAAGGGAGAATAAATGAGACAGTTTGAGACGTCTGTACAAGTCACAGGGGAAAATTCATCAAGTTTTGCCTTTGAATACAATTTATATCAGCAAGTTTCCATGGAAAAATCTTAACACCATCAGGTTGATTCCCTGTGATAATTTAATTCACCTATGCCAAGTTCATTGACGGGGACTCTATTGGACAACTTTCAAAAGGAATATACCATAAAATGGACAGGGGTGTTTGGGAAAATGAAAGTAAAGTTTTAGAACGAAATCATTGGAAATCCATCATAAGTTGACTTTTTTGACTCTGTGAATAAAAAGGTATTTATGAATGGGAATAAATATGAGCTTGGCCGGTCCTAAACTAACGTTTAAGACCTTGCTCAGGTGACCGAAAGCTGATAATGCATTATGTGCATCCATTCTCCTGAGCCGGTCTTAAACGCAGAGTTAAGACCAGCCGAGCACATATTTATTCCTTTATTCAAAATCAAATTAACCTCACTGACCTAATGTGCTCATTGCTGGAATGATTCTGTCTCCAGGTTTGACCTCCGTGACATGACCTCCAACCTCAGTGACCTCTCCCACACCCTCAAATCCTCCAACACACGGAAGGTCAGGTTTGATTGGATAAACGCCTACATGTTGAACCATTCGGTGAAGAGAGATGATGTCATGAAATGAAAATTACTTCAAAACTCTGTTCCTCTTTTGGGTTTTTTTTCGTTTCAATTTTAATAATTCACTTATTCCTTCCCAAAGTGCATTTCACTGTTTAGAAAAATTGGAAGAAACAATGATAAAAATTTAATCTTTGTGAGGATAGAAAACTACTAAATCTTTCACAGGAATTTACAGGTCCCCTTATGGTTGCTGGCCTTCATAGGCCCCTTTCATCAAATTGGCATAGATCCTCTTATCAAACTTCGATGTGTGCGTGCAATTTATGGGTCTTCATGGGTACATGTAAAACTTTCTAAAAAGTAGGCATTTTATTCTGGTGGTATGCATGTCACAAACATTGTAAATAAAATGACACAGACATTTCCAAATATCAACAGTTCAATTCCCTGGGATCTCTATCATCACCTTGAATTGTGTTGATATCAGCTGGATTGATGGGAGAAGCAAGCATCTTAATCTTCACAGAAGTAGAATCAAGAGGTGGTAGCTCTATCTCTGTCAATCTTCAAAAGAGGGTAATTCCCGAAATTAGGGGTCCATTGTTTCATGTCCCTGTCACATCTGACGTGATTTTATAAGTTCAGAACAAATTTACTAATTTCCAAGAGAGACAAATTAATGCAAATTACCTGCCAAACAAATAGTAATAGTTTGAAATCAATTCAAGTGATATTTCCATGACACTTTTGGACCCCTAATTTCTGGAATTACCCAAGAATCATAAAGGTAATTATTACCTTAAGGACACCTAGGTTGTGCCCTTTCTTTATCATACAGTCATATGTTCATGATTATTACTATGTTTTATCAGTCATGTCAGTGATTTTCTGTCCAAAATTCACTTCTCCATGTTCTCCAACCCATGAAAATGTAAGCCCCTCAGCCAAAAGTCATAAGTATATGATTTATGGTCAGATGGTGAAATTCCTAGCCCTACATATAGCTCGATGGGATATGGAGAGAATTGATTTCTAATGACACGTAGCCTAGGTCTAGTGGACCAGTCGTAAATTTAAATGCGGCCTAAAATCATGAAAATAAACACAGCCAAGTTTTTACCAGGATCGGCATAGCCAGACGGTTGTTTAAGTAGGCCAACACATTGACGATTGATAGACATGATCATGATCAGTGGTGATGGATTATCATGTTCAAACACCATCCATGATCACCGTCATCAGCTCATCAAAATTTACGTGAAAAAAATAAAACATTAAAACTACTCACTTTAAAACTTTTACAGGATCTCCATAGTCCCCATAAATGAGAGCCTGTGCTTTTTCATTATGACAATAGTGTCTTTTTGTTTCAATGATTTGAATAAATGGGACAAATCTTAAATTTTTCAAAGGAGTATGCAACTGCCTAAAGACCGCCATGGGCGCAGACATCTTGGATTTGCTCGTTTGATTGCGATATTTACTCCACACATTTGGCAAGCTCAACCAATCATTAAGACTTATTTCCCCTCGTGATGAATATGCAGTAGCACTTTGACACAAATCCGAAGATGTGGCGCGAATCATTTTTGTCGTGAAGTGAATAAGCTTCTGCGTTCTGGAAGAACGTTGACACTTTTCTCAATTAAAATCGTTCTATTTCACAATTTTCATCATTTATCGGCGAGTTGTCTAGCCATATCTCTACAAGCTGAAGATGCAGTTCGGTGGAGAGCGTAAAAATGCCCTTCAACGGCAACAAAGAGGGAGAAACAAGGGCCAAGTTCGCAGTAGTGCTGGCTTTGGCATGTTTGGGCAGTACTCGCATCGGCTACAATTCTACCGGCTGCCGCCTACAGACAACATCTCATTGAATGAATTTGAGGAATTTGCGATTTCCAGAGTGAAAGGTGAAGAATTGTTTTTTACACAATGTGTAATCATGGTAATCGGGACATATGAATGTACACGCAGGCCTAGGACTTGTTTTCAAATGTCACCGTGCAACCAAGCGTGCCAACATGGCCAAGCTGATAAATTTTTAGGCTTAGCCTACATTAAATAAATTAGTAAATTCATTCCTAACCATGCTAACGATTGTCATACATCTGCACATTAAACAACTAAAAGTCATATTGTCAAATAAAAATACATGTAGGCCTAAGGCGAAGGTAATCATAAAGTTTAGGCCAACTTCTGACATGTGTCACACAGGGCATTTGAAATGACAGTTCATTTTCATAATTGAATCTCTGATTTGTATAACTAGTGCTGCGTCATGTGGAACAAGCTGGGCAGAGCTATGTAAAAGGAACTGACAAGTACAAGGAATACATGGACCGAGACCTACGACATCTCATGCCTGTAGCTGTCAGAAAGGTAAAGATAAACCTGGTGGGTTTGTAGTGACTGTTGGCAGAGCTGATCTATCACTTCCTACAATCATCAAAGCATCCATTCAAAGAGCCATTGAGTTTTACCATTAAAAAAATTAATATTTATCTTATGCAGGATTTGAAGGATGATTTTGAAGAAAGAAGAAAAGATCATATATCTCACTTTATTCTGAGGTTGGCCTACTGCAAATCGTAAGTGAAAGCTTACTTCAACTCAACAATCACATTACTAGACCAGAAAATCTGATGGGCCTGATGACTGAACATTCTAGCTCCTTAACCCTAACCCCCTCAGCATTTTGTCTAGAAGGCTGACTCAACCCGTCAAATTCCAGCACCCTGTTGTTGCTGGGTGGGGTGTATGTACTCAACCCTCCGGATTTCAACAGTCCCTTGCTATATCAGTACACAGCCCAACAAACTCCAACAGGCAGTAAACTGTTGGGTTTTGGCTGAGTTGGGATACTTGGTCATATTCTATCGGAATGGGAACACAGTGTACTCATCCCTTCAATTGTCTTTGTTGGGGGGGCTAAGATTTCTTTGTCTTTATCTGTGACTGTTCTTAAAAAAGCAAGGTCACCAAACACTCTAGAGTAAGTTATTCTACTCCTTAAGTACAGGTACATGACCAAATGACCACCATTGTTTACATGCCACCCATACCAGCAGCATTAATCAGCAAACACCCACCAGCTAGTACTGGGTATTACCAACCATCCCCACTCAGTCAAAACCAATCACTGCTACTGCATCTTAACAGTACTCATCCTGTCATAACCCAACACTTTGTGTAGTAAGTTTCATATGTACACAGAACTCAACCCATCAAATTTCAACAAACTCCGGGGTTGTAAATTGATGGGATCCATTAGAATAAGTCAATAATACCATTCCGTGCCGCCAAGCTTGACAGCGCTTCACCCATCAAAGTTAAAAACCAGACTTGGGCTATTTTCAAGATGTATTTGCCAGACCTTGGCTGTTTGCAGATCAAGGGTAGAACAAAGGCAGCATGTCTCATCACGTACATGTTAATGTCTCCAATGGCATGGAATTATACAAGTGTGAAGTGAAACCATGAACCCCCAATGTGGTACTGGCGCTGTTCTCCAAGAGAGTGATTTCTTGCTGTGTCTGTTACTTGCAGGGAGGATCTGAGACGTTGGTTCATTGCTCAGGAAATGGATCTCTTCCGCTATCGCTTCTTGATGGAGACGGATAAGAGAGAAGTTGCACGATTCCTACAAGAAAACGATCTTCATTTCACTCCTGTAAGTCAAAGAGGACTGTTCTTTTTTCATTCTTTTTTATTGAATGCAGTTGACGACAAATGATGTGTAGTGTGACGCTTTTTGGTTTGGAGATTGAGGTCTGTGTGTTTGTTTAATTTTGTTCAGATTCCCGATGAGGAGAAGCGGCAAGTAGCCAAGTATCTCTGTGCAAGTAGCTACAGTATGTCTATGGCAATGATTGAGCATACTGATTTCTACAAGGTATCAACAAGTCTGTAAACCTGATCCAAGATTCTAGCAACTCACAAACACTCACTGGCCAACACTAAATCTGTATTACTCAGAATTTTTGACACAATGTTTTGTGAGAGATTTTTTAAGTACAACTTGGTTGTCCCAGTTCCTTAAAAAAACTTGCATTGAATAATTGGACTTCACTTGATATTCCACTTAAATCTCAGTGCCAGTTATAGCCTTTTCCAATTTGTCAAATGCCAAGCCCTCAAAAATGTTATGATCAATTTTCTAATATTTGACCCAACTCTTGGCACTGAATGTCGAGATTTTCTTGTGGCATGTATTCCAAGATTTATTTCTTTAACGTTATATTCAGGTACCATTTACAGAAGCATTGGACTTAGTCAGAGCTCGGAAGATCTATGTCCACAAGGGGTGGGCTTATGTCCCTCACAATGACTTGGTGTCTATCATTCTGAGTGCTTTCCGAGCACACCTGTCTCAAGCGCTCGCAGTAAGTGGTCTTAACTATCTATTATCTTGAACAGATCTAAAATCAAGCAGATAGCTCAGGATATTTCAAATTGGAACGTTTGGGGCCCTCAAGGTTATTGCCATGCAAGCTCACAGGAATACGTACTTGTTTGCTTGGACAAAGTCTTCCAAATTCTTTTTGGACAAGTGTTTTCAGTGGAGTAGTCCTTATCTGAAGTGATTCAATTCCAGTGTTGTAGTCAAGACCATCACAAGACCACACACAAGACCAGTCACAAGACCAGTCACAAGTAACAGGGTGAAAGATTACAAAGGAATGGATTTGTTGCAGTTCATTTGAATAGCTTGTCATGTGGTGGTCCTGTGAAGGTCTTAAGTGGTCTCGACAACAACACTGTTCAATTAATCAAATGCAGGTGACAGCCAGGAGTATCCCACACCTTGAGGAAGATGACCGCCTTCTTCCGATGCTCAACAACCTCAGTAAACAGTATCTGGGGCAGAACTACAGCAGTGGCAAATCCAACATGGGCAAGATTGAACTCAAAGACATGGACATGGTAAGCTTCAGAGCTGGATTGAGTTTACAGTCTGCTTCGAGCGGTAACAGGAGAGAGCATGTGTTTACATGGAGCACAACCATTTTATGTTGGAATGTACGGTCCTCGCGTTTGCGCCAATCACCTGGTTGGAAATTTCCCACTAGCCTGTCTTTCCTTTACTGATGAGGGTGTGCATCAACTCATGACAGATGGATGTTCATTTAAATGTGAGCATGTATCATTCATTGCATACCTGACTTATGTTATTTCTAAAACAGCTTGACCTAATCAAGTTGCACGTCCAGCAACAGGTGTGTGAAATGTTGTCCATGTAATAGACAGTGTGATATCAACGTAAAGACTTGTAGAGTGGACTAAAAGCCAACACAAAGATTAGCCTGGCTTGCATTCAAACCAAGTACCAGTATGCTAACTAGTCTAGTCCATCTCTTAAGGGTTTTTTATTTGATTCTTTTCCTGATTTAGCATGCCAGGAAGTCCTTCCCCCTCTGCATGCGGCAACTTCACTCCGCCTTTCGGGAAAACCATCACCTCCGCCATCATGGCCGTATGCAGTACGGTCTGTTCCTGAAAGGAATTGGCTTGACCTTGGAGCAGGCTTTGACCTTCTGGAGAAGTGAATTCTCCAAGATTATGGATGTAGACAAGGTACTTTGTTTACAGTAGACTGTCATTTTGTTTGTAAGAATGAGTTTGCCCCTCTCTACACTTTGCCTAGAGCTTGTGGACTTTGTTGGGATGAGTCTTAGAGGACTTGAACTTTAGACCTCTTGCTTACGACGAAACAAGGTTCTGGAATCTTTTGAATCTTTAAAATTTGTTAATGACAACAAAGAACAAGTTTTCTGCTTATAATTCAGAGTTTGATGGCATGTCTTTTATCGTGGATTTACAATAAGAGGCGATTTATTTTTGAGATGCAGAGTTTGCATTCTTTTTTGTTCCTCTGTCCAGTTTGAGAAGCAGTATGCTTACAACATCCGTCATAGTTACGGTAAGGAGGGAAAGCGAACTGACTATACGCCGTATAGCTGCATGAAGATCATTATGACTAATGCCCCGGCCACAGGAGACCATCATGGTAAGTCATAATACAGTAAGCTCTTAACCATGGTATGGAACTATAGTCCAGCAGGTGCGATGTT